AGGTTTTTTTTTTTTTTTTTTTGTTCTTTGGCTCTGAATTGGCTATTAATCGCTAGTCTGCTTCTCGATCCCTTAGAACCTGGTGGTCACTCTTCTGGTGATCCTGGCGTTAGTTTCGATATCTGAACGGATCACCAGCGCTATAATTTGTTGGGCAGAAGTACTTGACAGAGTTTTGGCCGTCTTCAGATTTTTGTGATCCCGGAAGTTCCTGGAAATTGGCACTGCTGAAACGAGGTTGCGATAGTTTTTTCAGACTTGTCGGGGAGGGGTCGGGAGTGGGGGACTGTTTCGGTGTTTGTGCTTGAAATGTACATGTAAATTCTCTGTCCATTCACCTGTAACTGGGGATCAAGTAAAGTTAGAAAGTTAGTGCCAGGACTTTGAGTAACAAATTTTGGAGCGAATACTAATTTCCCAAAATCTCGGACTCCTTGCTAGTCTGGGTGCCGAATTCAAGGTATCTTACAGATACACGAATGCATCCATAACACATAGGCAGAGTCGCTTCGTCAAGCGCCTTTTAATATCTCAGGAAGCGAATTGGAAGTTTTTTCAGGGTCTTCAATGAATACGTTGCGTTGCAAAGTACATGCGGGAGTTGTTGGATGGCGCAATTTCAGCACCACAGCGATCAGGAAGCAAAGCAGGAGGCCTCGATTTCCCTGGTTCAATAAGCATATGAAAGTGACAGATCCGGCTCGGCAAGATCCTGAGCATTTTGAAAAATTGGCTCATCAGCTACCACTCGGTTTGTTCTCAATCCGGAATTTCGATTAAGTCGAGGAATCAAAGATCAGTTCTTCCTCAGCCGAGATTTTGATTAAATCGAGAGATCAACCAGCAACAATTTTATCATTTGTCTTAATGCTGCACTACATACTAAAAACATCTTTTGAATTAGTTGTATCACTTGCAGCAGTTTGTTTCGTCAAGCTTTCAATGCACTGGACTGTTCTGGGGTTGCTGTTGTGCCAGATCTGTTGCTTGAACTGCATCTGGTGATCCTCTGCCTATCGTTCTTGTGGTTTTTTCGTTTTTCCCA